CCCGCACCTCTCTTTACCGGGCAAGTGCGCTACAAGTTACGCGTAACTGGCTTAACTAAACTTTAAGGAGCTAACTGCTGTACAAGTCAATGCTTTTATCCTCCCATACGAGGGCGGCACCAAGTAAAGAAGTTCTGAAGTGTTTGACTAGCTTAGGTGAGATCTGACCCGATATCGTTCTGATCACCGGACATGTGATCAGAACAGCGCCATTTGTCGCGACAGCACCTCCGCAACGCTCCCGGCTTATGCCATTGCTACCACAACAGAGCGGTGGATGCAGCGCACCTCAAGATAGTTCATGAGTTGATGATCGCTCATTGATTTGGCACTGAGTCGAACAATCCGGAACGCTGCCAGCAGACCAGCCTCGATCTGTGGTGTGAGTCTTCTGGTCGCCTGCTCCACTAAATCGACACAGAACGGCAGATATTGCACCTGAAACAACAAAGGATACTGTATCGCATACTGTAGATGAGTTCAACACTAACCGTTATGAACGTAACACTGTAGGTGGCAGCAATTTCGGCTAGACAAGCTTCCACTCGAGCACCGCATTCGTCACCAAGCAAAGACAAAGGAAATTTTTCACGTCCCCTGTTAGTAGGAACATATTTACTGCGGTTCCTGCATCAGAGCCTATTAACCGTCAATTCCAGCAGATAACATGATCCAAGGATCGAAAAGACTTTGCTGTGATGATCAGGCGCTTATCACAGGACCATATCTTTTCGATAGCCTGAAACACGAGGTATAGTCAATAGGGCACTATCGTAAGATACGGGGACACTGTGGTGGCAAAGCACTTCAAACCGCGTGAAGTATGTCGTTTTTTTCAATATGGGACCAAGGGTACTCAGCAGGCCACAGGGGCGCGGCGCGGTTATGTGTGGGCTATTGTTCTCACCTGTAGAAGCTTTTACCGACCCCCATCCCGAAAGGCTAGGAATTTGGTACGATCCCTCTTCGTCGCACCACCATATTCCTCGCATGTATTTATTTTTTCGGAATCACTCAAACCCACCAAAGCCCGCCAATAATTCCTTTTTCTCACAAAATCCGGTCTGATGCCGGGAGCGTATGATAGTCACTCCGAAACAGTATAAATTACCAAAGATTCCCTTAAAGGGTCGGTGATATTACGGGCGGGTCTGAAACGGCAAATTTTGTGCTCCCGCGCCACTGCCTCACCTCGTCTGCATGCAGAACTTCTTTACAATCGAAGGCAAGTACGAGCCCCCCCCGTCTATCAAACGGGTCAGTCAAAAATTACTACGAACACCCCCTCTTACAACACTCATCAAGAAATACGCTTAGCGCCCCCCCCGTTGTACTGTGTTAGCGAAAACAGTAGGTTGAGCCCCTGATCCCCAGGAGGCCCGTCGCGCGGCAAGAAGGCAGAGTCGGCGGACGAGTTGCAGCGCGTGGTGTGCGATGTAGGACGTGCAGTGGGACACTCTATTTAACTTGACGCGAAATCCCTATAGTACGCGCGACTCGTCCGCTGACTTTGCCTTCTTGCCGCGCGACGGGCCTCCTGGGGGTACCCCGGAATCATTAGGCCTAGAGTGGGAGAGGAGAGACTCAAAGTGTGATAGCCATGCTCATTTTCCCCAAGGCTCGGTGCATACTTCTAGGTAAAGATGCCCCGTGTACTTGCCGAGCGCTGTCCCAAAGGCAATATTTACAAAAGGAAGTGCAAATGTAAAGAATGAGCTGAGAGGAAAGCTTTTAGGTAGTACAAATTACTTCTAAATAAAACTATTCCTATACAGTCACTGATATCAAAACACATAAAAACCTCTAAAACAGTTCACTAGGAAAAGCGCACCATTACGGTAGCTGTACTTACCAAACGACACTCTCCTTAGCGACGACGCTTCTATCCACCTGGAGCGACGCCACCGCACTATCAATTACGCGTCGGTAGAAATATCTCTGCAGAAATTCTTGAGCGTACCATTAGGCTATGAGCAGGTAAAAGAAAAGACGCGCATCAAGCAGCTGAAAAAACAAGCCAAAGGTTACTAAGTGGATCAAATGTAGAGCCGTTCCGGTTATACAATATTTTACTTCTTCTATTCAATACACCAAAAACTTTTGGTGACAAGCCCATAATCCTAGAAAATAATATTTTGTGCATCACACGTGTATTTCCTACCTTCTTGAAACACTTTACTAGCAAATTATGATTTTCTCAACTCTTCCAATTTCCCAATTTCTCCATTCGACAACTTTTCCCCAAACCTTAGTTTTGCATAATTAAACTTTTCCATCCAATAGGAGACCGATCCCATGTCCTTTTTCAGTAAGGATTTTTTTATGAAATTCTCCTGGACCTGGTTTGGCATGGCTCTGGTAAGAGAACCTGGATGCCCTTTCCGAAAACAATTATCCTTTCCTTCTTTACAACTGAAGTCGTCGCAATTAATTAATCTCCCTTTCTAGAGACGTTGAGAGTTTTAAATGTAGATTCGTCATGTACGTTCAGAGCTCGATTCTCACGTGGCCCGCGAAAAACTAGCGCGATCGCCAAATGTGCACGCCGCTTGCGGCTTACCAAATTCTCCTTGAGCCATCTCGGGCACCTGTGATTCTCGGGGTACCCGGCAGGATGCCCGTCGCGCGGCGAGAAAGTAGGACGCAGACGGGTCAGCGGACGAGTCGCAGCGCATACTGTAGCGATTTAGCGTCAAGTTAAATAGAATGTACTACATATAGTACGTCCCACATCGCACAGTACGCGCTGCGACTCGTCCGCTGACCCGACCACGTCTCCGCTTTCTCGCCGCGTTACGGGCGAGAAAGGGTACGAGTGATTCTGAGTATGAATGTGTGGCGAAGTTCTCCAAGAAGTCAGCGGATCTGGACTTCAGCTAACCTCATCAAAGCAAGGCGTGAACTGCATCGCCTCGACGATTTCAGAATGTAATCAGAGCAAGGCGCATTCCAAACGAATTGATTGGAAGCGAGGGCCTTATCGCACAACACTTTCTACTTCTTAATTTTATTTGTATCCCAGATCATAAGTTTTATTTATGGGATAACAGCACCTAACTGAACTAACCTTCACCGACGACTCGCAACTCAACAGTTCAACGAGAGGTTTTAAAATTTGCTCAAACGACTGGTCATCGAAATGACCGGCAGGCGACGATGAACAAACGATGAACCTGGAATGGGATCACACCCTCAGTATCAATTACATAAACAATGTTCCAAGAACTGCCCATTATTTACTCGATTGCTGCAATCCTATCGAGGCGAGCCAACACCTAGGATTCCTAGATAGAGCGAGATTTGGCACTCGGGGAAGGGGTCACTCAGCGCAAGTGGGAGCATGTTACCGGGAAAAAAGTGTAGAGCTTAGTAGGAATCCCTAGGGGAATATTTATGAGTTTTCCTTCCAAATTCTGTAAAATTCCAAGCATTTGATGAAATTTCCTGAATTTTCAAGGATTCCAGAATTTTTGAAAACCCATTCTATTGCAGAACCCTGATCCGACGGGCATCTCTTGGGTCTAGTCAGGCACAGTTTCAGGAATGGACTAAAGAGCGACAGGTTGTGAGACCTGAAGACGGAGGTGAGCCGTAGAACCTCACACAAGAATCTTGTCAGCCAAAGTTCCTCAACTTATGCACACCCTTAGTGGTGACAACCGAACTCACGAACCCCGAAACATGTTTAAAAAATTTGTTAAATAAAATACCGTTTGTACAGCCGATTCTTCGTCGAATATCATTCGCTCGAAAAGTCGTACAAGCGAGTTTCCCATAACCGTCATCTCCATAGCCGATTTGAGCGCATTTAATTCACGCAGTAGAACAGCTTGTAGGCGTTTTTCTAGAACAAGTATTTTCTCTTGGAAGAATATCTCGTAACAACCTGCAACGGACCATTTCCTTGTACGACTATGGACTTCCGCAGAGGTGAAATGAATAGTATGGTGAAATCGCATCATGAAAGTTCGTCACCTGTAATTCAACAATTTTATTACTCTACTTACTACTTTTATGCATGCGAAAGCAAGAATTGGATGAAAGCGTAGTTACAAGCGGCGCCGAACATCACACGCACTCAGCTCGGGGATTAAATTTTGGGCCGTGCGCTGACTGTTCCAGTCATGCCTTCCATCCTTCCGAGGGGGACCATTTGGTAGAAGACTTGATGGAAAGTAAAAACATTGACTTGAACATCGGCTGGCCCCCGCAAGTCATTGTATAGGCCAAATCGCATTCAAACGCCACTGCGGTTTTAAACGGAAGTAGAATGCGTGGCACATCCCAAAAAGATGATAGCGACTGATTGATTACCGAATGCCTAGTCCTTTTGTTAACGTTTTGTTTATCTGTGGACCAGACCGGTTAGGTCTAGAGGAATTGACTGAACAAAACGAGAGATGCCCTTAAAGGCACAGGCCGCGGCCGAATTGGGGTGCTATTTCGCTCGAAGAATGAGACAAGAAGTACGAAGAGGAAGGCTAGCGAAAAAGAACCCTAGAAAACACTGAAAATTTCCTTGTGAGGTCGGCCGTAGTAGGACGGAGAGAAACACGAGGAGAGCACGTCGTGCGCGAGAGGGCACAGACGCCACCTGTGCTGTGATTGATAGAATGGCAGCGGTCGCAGCGGTCAAGCGACAGCATTATCTCTCTTATCGTGAACTTTTAGGTCGAGACGGTACTATCACCCCTGAAACCGATGCTTTTTAACGGCAGCATGCACAAAAACTCGAGGAAGCATCGATAAAAACAAAAGTATTTTTCATGAAAAATTGGAAACTAGGGAGTAAGCAAAATGTCAAAAAAGTCTCCAGACACCCGCTGACTATGATAGGCACAGTTTGATGCGGAAAGGCGTATGAAAAGAGAGGCCTCTTGTCACGTTGCGAATGTGGTCCTAGATGGACTTCGAAATACGATCACGTCCCGAGCTACGAGACCAATATGCAATGAATTAGAATCGAATTAAAGAGAATCACAGGTTAACAACCGCACCTCTGCTGGTACATCAAGGGCGTGCAAAAGGTAAAATGGTATCTGGGATGGTTCAGGAACTTCGCTCAGACCATCGACGAGCTCATCAATCATATCAATCCAAGGCCTATAAAATATGAAGTAGTGAGCAAGTTCCAGACGCATCTAAATCGGTGGAACTGACTTACTTAGGGAGATCATAGGAGTTCTCCAGGAAACGCTGATTGTTCTCCTTGAATTTATCGAGGGGGTAAAATCGCAAATAATGCTGACGGAATCGAAAAAGCGTCTGCACAAACGAAAGAAACATCTTCTCAGCTTCAGTGTTGAACTTCATTTTCTAAAAATCAGTGCTGTAACAATAATAATAAATTTGAGAGTAAAGGCATATTCTGTTTCTTTCGACAGGACGTGTTGTGGTTGCGGCCTCGCAGCCAACCCAGCATCAAAAAGCACGTAGAATTGGACCTTCTGATACTGGAGCGTGTGCTGCAAATCCACAATCACGACGCGTCTTGCGGCTGGGGAACAGATGTTGTACAAGAAACTTCCAAGCTTAGCGAACGAGAAGAAAACATTCGTTAAACGAGGAATTCAGATCCATGACGCTTAGAGAGCCAAATTCTCTAGGAAAAATCTGGCCCCAAGTAACTGACGCCGAGAAAGGAAGGCTGGGTGGCCTGGTAGAGGGACTCTGGAGCAGATTCGATTCGGAATGAATATGCGCTTTAGAAAGTCAAACTTCGCCTAAGCCAATACAGTAGCTCGGGCTCTTAGCAAGCTTTAGGGGAGAAATGGAAGACAGAGCTGCTAATTTCTTGGCGGAACGTGTGCGCGTACAGAAGGAATAAAATATGGTGGAAAGAAGCGATTGAGAAGATACCTTTTTCCACATAACAAGCACAAGATGGAAACTAAAAAAGTGTATGAGAATGCGATTTCGCGATGTGGAGGCGGAGTTTGCGAAGAAGAGGCAGCCCACAAGAAATCAAGGTGAGGGGGGCAGTATGCATGAATGGAAAATAATCAGAGAAAAACAGCTCCGAAAAATGGAACCGTCCTAGTCCGTCGATCTCCGCAATAGAGCGAGCCTCATCAGGCGCTGAAGCCACCAGTGCGAGCCCTCAGCTCTGCGCCCCTGCTGAAACCGTAGAATTAACAAGGCTAGGGTTCCACTGCGAGGGCTACCCAGTCGATGGGCGGGTTGCGGCTTAGGGGGCTCTGCTAGGCCGCTAGGGGCACACGCTTCGTTGCGAAACCCGCATCGTCCCGCACTTTTAGGAAGCCTGCCTGGCTTTCGACTACGTAAATTTTCCCTTCTCCGATTTCCGATTTTATTGTGGAATCCTCCCTTAACTACGCAAGTCTAGAGGGTGAGAAGACTAACTTGAGCAACCGCAAACTTTGCAAAGCACCGCAAAGGTCACATGCGCATCTAATTTTTTACTTCCATAAAAATCGAATGCGCGGCTCACTCCACTCCGTTGCCAGCAGTTCCTCTTCTACTCGAGAAGTTTATTTCGATTAAGGAAATGACCAAAGTTCATCACAACCAGATATTCGGTAAAAAAAAAAACTAGAGAATTACATGGGTAAGTTACCAAAAAGAACCATGGAAAAGTGAAATTAATACAAATAAAAGGGAACAAATTAATGAATAAATAAGAATAAATAAATCACATAAAAAATGAAAGAAAACTTGCTTTGGAATTAGAAAATCTACTGAAAATTGGGTCTATAAGGCGGTGTCTTTGAGCAGATGGCCCGGAACTCTTTATTCATGAAGTGCTTCAAAATTTTCCCAATAAGATACCTTGATCTTTGAACGATACGTCTCCAGAAGAGTCATAGCAACTGGTTGAGGTGTGCTTGATTCCACTCGGAAGTCTGAAATTTTTCCAAGACGGCGTTTAAATTTTATAAACGGGAACAGTTCCGAAAAAACAAAGAAATTACACTAGTCATATAAGCGGAACTTTCGGGGCTGCTCAAAACCTTCCCCCCCCCAACTGGTGTATTTGTCAACTTGTTCAGGATCCACGTCCACACAAATAGCGCCACCTTCTCTTTGATTAAGAAACTTAATGTAAAAAATTCTTCTCTGACCCCCTTAAAAGATGGTTAAATTCAAAAAGATATTTTGTAATTTTTGTTCTGGTTCAGCTTCTCGCTTGGGACCAACAACTTTTATAATAAGCGCTTACCTTGGATCATTTCAAAATCGGACTTCTTGCTGTCGAAAAGCGCTTGACCCTTCGAATTTCGCAGTCTTTTCGGATGCGGTCGATGAAATAACTGCACCTGAACCAACAGCCGTGGATAATTGAGTTTTACTCAGTTGTACGGAAAAGTCTTGCGGAAAAAGCCTACCATCCCATTTGTGCACAGGCGATGTCTTTTGGGTTCCGAAAAACACATATGAACATTCAAACTGTCGACTGCTACATTTCCAGCCAACTGGAAGCAGTTAAAAATCAGTAAAACTGAACACCCAATTTTAGTAAAAAATGATCGTTGTTAATGTTTTCAAAATGGGCCATGCACAAGAGCCCTTGCAGAACTTTGGAGGTATGTTAACACATTGATGCCCGCGGCGATTTCGGTGCATGTCACACATATGACATCAGCTGGATTACGTGCGTGCACAGCGATGCACAGACGTCACATTCGGGACATTTTATGGGTTTTCGTTACACGGCCCATTCGTCTCGCTACAAAACCCAAATATTTTGTTAGAGGACCCGCACAAACTCAACTACAGACCTAGGCACTGCTCTTTCTTTTCTTCTGGACGGAACCTTTTCGCTTTTTACTAGTTTCTTGCCTTATCCACAAGTGTGTGCAATAGACAATAACCTCTGATCTTGGCTGCAGACTAGTTTTTAGAGTTTTACCTGAGGCGTGGGTAGCAATTTTTTTTCTCCTTTTTTCTCTTCTCCTTTGATTCCAAGGCAGTTCCAAAACTTCGAAGTTTGAAGATTTGGAACTGTCCTGAAATCAAAGGAGAAGAGATCACGAATTTGCAATACTAACGGAAGTTGAATTGTCACGAAAGAAAAGGAA